ACTCTACACTTGCCCTGGTTGAATTTCATAACCTCAAGTTATAATGAGACACCAAAGCCTCTTCACTGTGTCGTGAGCCAAATCACTTCACGGTTTGACTGTTTTTCTCTAATGCAGGGAAGCATTACAGCTGACACCCACTACGCTCTTGTCCAGAACTCTGCTCCTTCAGAGAAGCTCAGTGAAACAAAAGCTGACATTATCTATTTTTGCTATCATTGCCTACTCTTCTCAACAAAAACAACTGGCCGTTACTCAACTAAATCAAGCTACAGCATCAGGTGTAATTAACAAATTGTAGCAAAATATATCACGTTTTCAGTGCAACACTCTGATAACAGGTTTTTACAGTAAATTGTAAATGGCAGAAATTGTTTTGCCCCCTTATTTTAATTTTTGGGCCAGTAACATTTCTCCTACTCAGTTTTTGGACAATACTATCGAAGAACTTAACAAGCACTACTAGAGGTTTCCAACAAGCTGTAAGCCAGTCGCTTTGGCAACACAGAAGAAGTTTATCATTAAAACTACACTGAAAATATATAGAAGTGATCTTGATTTTAATAAACTTAATTCCCTTAAGAACTCCTCAGGGTGTCACCGGGCCAAGCTGCTGCCACTCTTCCACCCTTTTCCAATGTAATATTAGCCGAAACCAGATTTTACTTCTTCACAGAAGTGTTTTGGAATTATGACGATATTTCTCTTACCACCAGCACTACTGTAACAGAAGGCTAAGAGCATCCTGAAAAACACATGATTTTTGATTCCTCTGAACAGTGCAAATTCTAGTCAAACAGCTTGGATTAATTAAATTATTTAGGTTTTGATATTTTTTTTTTTAAATTTGTCTCAGCCTACTAGACATAAGAAAATCCCCAATAATCTTAAATTGTTCACATTTTCTTAAATTTGTTTCTCAAGTTTCAAGAGAAAGATCAACAAGAGTTCACACAACACCGGTTGAAATATTTAAACCTATACTGTCCGGATGTGCTACGGGCCTAAATAAGGAAATGCAGCTGCAGCCAAAACCTGGATGTATTTCTAGTAAACAAATCCTCCCATAGGTGACAGGAACTTAGCATGCCCCGATGCACAAGTGTACTGGTGGATTTTATTCCAATTTAAATCTTTAGGGGCATGCTGGCATGCCCAGTAGCTTCAGGAAGTAATAAACCTCATTGAAACGAAGTTTACTAGAAGCAACTAAAAAAAAAAAGAAAAAAAAAGAGGATTTTTTTAGTGTAAGTCACTGAATATCACACACTGTCTGAATCTGCAGTTACAGACTGATGTGCTCGCTGCTGTAAAACTTAAGTTTCTCCTCATTCTCCTTCTGAAAGAGTACAATTTCATAATTATTAATAGATTTTTTTGATGCTTTTCTATTTAGTGTTACTCTTCTGCAGAACTGTACCCACTAGGAAACATTATTTGTTACATTATATTGACTCAAATCTTTCCTCCAAGGAAGCTCCCTGCTTCTACCGCATCATTTCTTTGAAAAAATGACATTTTACTACTGCTTAGTTTTTCATCAGAGCTCTTGAATAGAAACAGAGATTCCAGCCTGCATTCAAATTTCTTAACTGTCAAGGAACATTCGTATGTTTTTTCTAAAAAGGAGTCGGAGGCACATTAAGGAGGGAACACCCTAAAAATATTTCACATATTTTGTAAGCACGTGGTCCTGCTCCCACAAATACACTGCAAGTGAATCACACCCTCAACTCTGTGACGTTGATAGGCGACGCGTGACCTGCAAGAAGCACCGGGATGATTTTAAGTAACTCCTAACACAAAGCAGACTAAAGCCTAACACAAAGCAACCTCCTCGTGCACCGTCAGCACTTAAGACATTGATACCACCTGAAGTTCCTACTTTCAGTCATGGAAATTCATTTACTCTCCTTCTCAGCGATGCACATGCAGTGTGAGATGCAGAGAGAAAAAAACCCCACAAAACCAAACACAAAAAGCATCCCAACAAGCAAAACTCAACTCACTTGACGGGAGCCCTGGCGTAGACCTGCAGCCAGTCAGGAATCTCGGCGGTGTGGTAGGGGTTTGCAGGGACGAGGAGAGGCTGGCTTCTCTCCGCTTGCTGGGGCTGGTAAGTCACCGGGGGAGGCTGGTCATAACGGGGAACGCTGCGAAAAGGAAGATCAAGTCCGTTAACACTGAATTGGAAATGTTAATACAGAGATTTTACGCACACAGAGTCAACAGTGCAACCGTATGTGGAGCACGGCTTTAGCAGGAATCGCAGCACGGCTTCAGCAGGACTCGCCTCCTGCTTGCTACCTGGGTGCTGAAGCAGAACAAAAAACTGCATCTGTTTTTAAAACATTAAAAAGTGAAGCACTGATTCAGCCAAATAAACCATCATTTAGTACACTAGAACAAATGTGTTTGGGCAAGAGCTGGTAAGAATGACTCCATTTATAACAAAGAACATTCTCATACATTTACATTTTGTGCCACACATTACAGAATCTTCTCTTCCTGGGCAGCAGCGAAACAGATTAAGCAGAAATTAACTTTATTTCACCTTTAAATTACAAGTAGCTGAAATAATTATTTACATTCTAGGCGAGACTTAGTTGGTGTTTCAGGTGGTATGTGCTATTTGTTCAGTCTCCTGGAACATCATATCAAGTTTCTTTTCAGTCTGCAACTCAATTCTGTTCTCAGCCACTTTGCTGTTTCACTGACAGTTGAAGAGAATAGCTGCTTTGCTTTAGAGAGTTTGGAACAATATCCTGTTTCCAAACTTAAGACAGCAACAGACGACAAAACCCTAACAATTACAATGTCTTCTAGCAATCGCAGTCAAGAACCAGGAAAGCTCACTTCTAAAAATAACAAGTTTTTGGCATGTTACATACGAGACAAAAACAGTTTCACTTTCTTAACTGGATTAAGAAAAAAAAAAAACAATCACAGAAGAGGAGGTGGATGTCCTACCTGGGAGCACAAGGATGTTTATATTGAGCTCTCTTACAGATGTGATCTACATAATACACCCCGAACTCGGCTGACTCGACCCTCTCCCAGCCCGGAGGCAGTCCCTCCCGCTCGAGGGGGTGGCTCCAGTGAGTCGTATTAGTGTTATGATCTATATAGTATTTCCTTCCTCTAATAGTCCAGTCCACTGACCAGCCTGGAGGAAGAGGTAAATCTTCAGAACTATGATTTGTTAAGTTTCCTAGAGATGTAGCAGCAACTCTACCGATGCCTAAAAAAATAAAAAAGAAAAAGGAAAACAACATTTAGCTGAACTGATAACATCCCAAACCAGCATTACGTACAAAGTCAACCCCCCCCCACTCCCCACAAGCAGCACTCTCTGAACAATACCACAGCGTTTATAGCACGTGCACTTGCACATTGGTAAAAATAGCATGATCAAGTGAAAGCGCCTATTCCCTTTTAAGTCTCATTTGTTTCGCTCCCCTCCAACTTGCTAGACAGCTTCATTCAGGGACAGTTAAGGCATCCTCGCTGTCTCAATTACAGACATATCACAGCACAGAGAATATAGATGAAGCTGTTATTAGTCTTGATTTGCTGAGCAGAGAGAGCCGACGTTAAGATTACAAACAGTAAAGCTTTAAATAAATGAGCTTCTATTAATACAGCAGCTGCATCAAAACTATTCACCTACAAAAACCCCACAGCTATCTTTTTTTTTTCTAGTCACTGCCAAAAATTGCAACTAGAAAAAAATCATTCAGCACCAACGAAGCTTTTCAGATTAACCAGCTGAGAACAGTTAACAGGACCAGGTAAACCACGAGTGGAGGGACAGGTAAGGTTAGCACTACCCTGCGCTGACCATCATACCGAAGTGTGTGCAACCACGGCCAAAAAAGTGTCACCAGCACCAAGAGAAAACAGAAAAGCAGGATCCAACCGGATCTTGCCCAAGCCCTTCGCCAAACACAGATATCCTGCGAGGCAGCCATTACCACGTCGCCTTTGCTTGTTAGACCAGCTAGTTAACGTGCACTGTGGGTGGGTCAGCCAGGCAAGATTTAGAGACTTTTTGTTGAGAGCGAGTCACAAAATCTCCTCATCCCTCTCCCCTCCCTTTCCTCCCTCCCACGGATCTTGGAAGTTCCGTTGTCTAGCGGGCTCTGCATCGGCTTCTCTGTGTTGTGCTCTTCTCTAAAGCTGAGCACCTGTGTTCTGTAATGCTGAAGAGGCACATGAAACAACAACCAAAAAAGTCATTTCCAGCTTTTCTTGGTGATGGGGGCTGTGCTTGGGGAAGGCTTCTCCAGCAAGAGAACTAAAGCCTAGGTTAGGTGGATTGGCAGTAGAAAAGCTGGCAGGAATCAGCAGTTGCTTAAGTTCCCACCTCTGCCCTAGAAATACAGCACATCTAGGATTTATCACTAAATAGCTGATTTAAGAGACCGTTTACTAGCATTTTACAACACATGATTTGTTTTAACATCCACACAGCTTTTACATTTTAAAAATTAGCATGCTGGGTGCTAAGAGATGTCCTGAAGAAACGGAAATTTAATTTAAGCTTTTCCTTCCCTCTGTATACTATGGATACTCAGGAAACCAGCTGAAATAATTTCAGAAAACTAAAAGAAAAAAACAACAAACCAACTCCAAAGCCCCAACTACAAAAACCAGGTGACATAATGAAGAATTTTGCAGGTCTCTTTCCATTCTTTGGAAGACTACTACTACTACTACTTGGCATGGTGGCCCAAATTTGACTCTTCTTTTAATCCGTTCAAGTAGTTACCTTCAGCTACCCACAGTTCTACAGTTAAACAATCACTGGCTTCAAAGAAATTCCCATTATCTTTTCGTCCCACAGTCAAACGCATCTATTCAATCACAGTATTCACCACTTTGTGTGTTGTTATTTCCCAGAGCTGGAAATAGCAAAGGAGCCACTTTTTTCAATTGCTTTGAAGCCAGAAAGTGGCTCCACCACAAGCACCACATTTCTGAGGAATAGACCCCTTTCCCCCCAGTTTACAAAAACAACGTTTTTGTGTGACTGCTTTTTGAGAGTGGAAGGGAAAGTCTATCTCATCTAAAGATTACCATTAAAGAGAGGTTTCGGGTGCGGTCATGAACTCAAAAAGACAACAGCCATACTGAAGCAGCAGCAAAATTGTTAGGTTTCTCAGGCAATTGCATACTCCTGTTTTCTGACAAAAGCAACAGCCCTTTTCAACAACACATACGCAACACAGCACACTAGCAAAGGGACATCATCTATTTTAAGCACTAGTTTACATATAAAATGACATAGACTGAAAATCGGATGCGCTGTCCTTCTTGTTCAAGAGAGCAGTCATCCACCAGAAAGTAATGGGAAGGCTTCAAAGCAACTGAATAAATAAAAAATAAAATGTCCAAAACTTCCTCCCTAGTACTTCTCTTTAAAAACATTTGTGCTCATCTACAAATCTTTTTCCAGCCTTTTCACGTTCTGAACTATTTGGCCTTAAAGCTATTTCCTCCTGTTGCACTACTTACCTATTTGTTAGCTTTAGAAAGGAGAGTGGATGATTGGGTTCATGTGACAGCTCCCATCTCTCATCTGGATTAAGCAACCCAGACCTTTACTTCCAGTGAGAAGAAACATCCTGGAGCCTCCCTGACCTTTAGCAGTACTGGGGCAGGAAAGTTATTTCAGATCCTAGCTGCAGTTATGTCACTGGTTTTGTTTTCATTCCAATGGCAAAACATAAACATTTAAGCTTCTTGAAAATACTGCACTTCGGATAAACAAATTCAGTGTTTTCTCCAATTAACTGGCCTGCTGTGTTGTAATTTCACTTACAGATCAACAGTGACTATTAAATCACCAGCACCAGAAGAACTGACACGCAGATTTGACTCGTGCAAAGAACTTTCACAAAGGCAGAAACATATTTTTGTGTTTAGTGTTAAAACCAGCAAAAGCTTGTATTTTTGTTACAGTTCCTTCTCCTTAAATTCTAGCATGATTCCAGCAGCAAATATATATTTTCTTAGGGGTAAAGCTTAATGCTTTCTAACATTTGGAAGTTGTTATCAAAAGCTGCATAAGCCACGCTCTGCATCAGAACTTCTCTTCACACAACATTGTGTCTTTTCATAAAAAAGCCTGAGAAGACTGGGACAAAGACTCAGGGAGGAAAGCCAAAATCCAGATTATGTAGGGAAGTCACCTAGAAAGCAGGTTAAAAGGCAATGCTGCGCCCAACGGAAAAGCAACACTGGCAGTTCTGTGTTTGCACAATCATTTAATTCTAGCTAAGTGGTTTCTCCCTATGTCAACTTAAATTTTTTTAAAATTTCCAAGATGCAAAGAACAACAATACCAGGCCACAAGTACATTATACATTCTTTCTGCTACTCTAACTTTATACATGAAGGAGCAGAGCTCTACACCATTAAGATAAACTTACACAGCTATATCAATTCCCAGGTCTGGACAGTGTTCCAAGTCGCTACAACTAACAAGCTCTGATCATGAAATCAAAGGCCAGATTTATAAACTGATGGTTGCCCAACACTTCGGGTTGTAGACTGTCAGGTATAGTCTTAACATGCATTCTTCCCCTTCAAATCACAGATCATACTGAAATAATCTGCGTGCTAGAAGTTTTAAGAGGTTAGGTAATACTGATAGCGTCTTACAACCATCACCCCACTATGGAATTCCAATTGGCAATTAGTACAATTTAGATACTCGTCGATAAAACTGGAGTTACTAGAGATAAAAAGAAATTATATGTTGGTCTTCCTTAAAAAACTTCAAGGGAGAGCGGATACATATGTAAGAGAAACAGCTCCTCCCATGATTTTTAACAATCAGGGAAGATGAAAATTTACTGTCATGCATATATACACACTTGTAAGTATCAATAATAAGACTGAACAATGCTTGGAAGAGTTAAAATCGTACATGATCTCTTCCAGTATAAACCAACGAAGGCCTAAAACTGTCTTCTGTGAAGACTGCCTTTCTGTGCCACATCATCAAAGTACGACACTCTCCTGCGTTTAAGTTGCAGGTAAGCTAACGGCTTAAAGCGTTTTCACACTGGCCTTTACCGCACACACTGAGGATGTTCTCTGAATCCTGTAGATTAACACAACACATTGCAAACTACAAAGAACCCTCAAACTTACAACTTGAACCATTTTTATCAAAACATCTGGTTTAAAACCTGCGCTCTTTATTGCTGGGGATTCCTCTACCACAGGATAAGCAAAATCAGACTAGTTGAACCAGTTCACTGTAACTACTCTGGTTTTCTCTATATCTATACTAGTTTTATCTATACCAAGACAGAAATCATCACTCTTTCTGATTCCCCAAGGAATAGAGCTATTTAAACTATCTCTGTTTTCCAAATGTTAAAACTCTGCTTTCCCCTGTCTAAAGATGAGCACTGTTATTCATAGAATCCCAAGTGTCACTATCAAATCTTCAGGAATGGTCAACAGTTTTCAGGTTGCCTCTTCAGTCTCAACTAGATTAGACTAGACTTACTTAGACTAAACTCTTGTCTAGTTTCATCTGTCAATTCGGTTTCTTAACAGCATGTGTTTGATTCTGTTTCATAATGCTGTATGTTTGGGGTAGTTATTGGTTCAGCTTTTAAGGAACATCAACACTGAATGTTATCTGTGCTTTGCTTTTTAATTCTCTTGGAAAAAAACATGTCTCCAGATTCAGGTCTTGAATTAATTGTCAACTAGGCCAGAAGGCGTTTTACGCTGTTTCAAAAAGTGAAGGAAAACCTCGTTCAACACAGTTTGCTTGCTTACGAGTCTCACTGTGTATTTCTCAACACTTCAGAAAAAAAGGAAATTGCAAAGGAACAGCAATCACTTACTGCTAGTGTTAACACGATTTAAAATATTACAAGTTTTAAGTAAGGCCCTATATTCTCAACATCTTCAACAGAGCATCCTAATAACAGAACCCAACCTTTAACTTTCTCCACCATGTTCCAGCACACTGTAAAATATCAGCGCAAGGAGTTCCTTTATTGAATGTTCTTCTCTTAAATCTCATCCTAAGCTAATAACGTCACAGACGTGAAAAACATACACCACCTTCTTCAATCAAGGAAGCTCTGCTTGGTTTGTTCCATCAGTATGGAACAAAGAAAACTGTAAAGGCCAGCAAAGGGCAGTTCCTCAGTCTACCTAGTAGAAAGCACAGGAGGAAAGTCCTATCACCCGAGCAGTCCATCAAAAAAGGAAAAGAACAAAACCATCAAAGATAAAGTCTCACTTTGTTTATTACGGTGCTGATGTGGGCAGAGCAGTTTCAGAGCCTGTGACCTCCTCGTAACTAGCTTCAACTGAATTCAAAAGTGTTGAAGAACAAATCTAGCCGTACAAAAGGCCCTCGTATCTGTCTTTAATTAGGCCAATCGTTTTGAGAGCCTTTTTTCAGAATGCCAAAATCCTCTCCCTTCCCCGCATCAAACCAGGGTGAAGAACAGGAAGAGAAGATGAACAAACTGTTTAATTTTAAGGGAGTAAGTAATAATAAAACAGCAAAAAAGTTCCAATAACTATCCCGTTTAGAGAAGACTGCAGGTTCTGGGCCTTCCCAACCCATTTCAAAGCATCGGAAGACACTTCCTGAGCTCGAGTACCTCATCTGGTAGAGAGGACGGGACATTCCGAGTAAGCACTAAATTCACAAATAGGAAATGACAGGAAGCAACTTAGAACGCTTAGAAGTTTGCTACAAAGAACTTACTGCAAAATCAGCACAAAAGAGTGGCAGGAACTGCCATTTGTTTAAAAAACGAGTGAAGTGCACACACCTAAAAAGAAAAGCTCTGCTACTTTAGCTACAACAGGCTTCCCTTAATAATATGTATTTCTTTATTTTGCTCTCACACTAAACGTGAACACTACTTTGCAATTTTTAAGGGGTAAAGCACACTAGATTCTCTGTTTACAGGATTAATAGCCTTTCACCACTGACATCATCAACTGCTTACAATCCACCACCAGAAAGTCCCTTTACACTCCGATTTTAATCTCAGCAATTTTCATATACACATAAGAATTTTTCAGCTTACCGCTCAAAGAGGTACAAATAACTCTGAGGTCTTGGTTACAAGTTAGTTCCAATCTATACTGTAGATATAACTTCAACCACAGACCTCCCCAAACCTTTAACCTAGAAGAGAGGAAAGAGATGTCGAGGAAAGACAGGTAAAGTCTCTTAGAATCAAGTTTGAAACGGACACTTAAAAAAAAAATTAAAAAAAATTAAGAAATGCCACAGAGGTAGCTAAACGTACAAAACTAGGAAAGAGCTCAACTGAAGACATTTTTCAGCAAAACTGAAGACATTTAATTAGATTGCTAATTAAAAGCAAATGTAATGAAAATTAGGAAAGGAGGACATGGTAGAACTGAATCATAACGAGAGAGAAAACATGACTTCAAGGAGAAATGCCTATGAAAGAACAATGTTGTCACCATCCATGGCTGAAAAATCGTGCGACTTTGTTAAATACTTGGCTGAATACTCTGAGCATGAAGATCTTGCTAAGGAAACATTTCTAACTTATCTCCAAATTATGAAAAGGAGAATCTTTCTTTCTGAGTGAAAGCTGAAATCCACCTGCAGCTCTTCACTTCCAGACCACTGCTTCTCAAAAGTCATCTTGTTTGTAACCAATGCCAAAGGAAATATCACTCGCCACCAGCAAGTACACCTTGAGTTCCTCGGGCAACGTTTCTGGAGCCATCAACCCAAACCACAACAGAACCGACTAAGGGGGCCTTCTAAGGGAGGGTGGCAGAGGAGGAAAAGGCAGCATTTACAGGTTTGAGCTAATAAACTGAAGGTATCTGGCAATTTCGTCATCAATTATCTTGATGAATTGAAGAATTCTGATTAGGTGAAATATGTAGAAACAACAATGCAAATGCATTTAGACAAAGGTAATGGAAGTAAAAGCCCAGCCACAGTATTCTGGAAATGTAGGAGAAAAGGAACTAGAATTACAGAAAGATTGGTGTAGCTCAAGGGAAACAATGAAGGTTTGAAGAGAATGGATGGTTCAAATAAACAGCAGCTTAATGGTAAGACGGAAGAAGTAAGAAAATCTAAGGCTTTCTGATTTTTGGCCATATAATTCTTTTTTGAGAAAAAGTAACAATAATTCTTGAAAACATGTACAAAAGTTAAGGACATAGGTCAATATTCTTACTGCAGTGAAAACTGAAAGGAATTTAAGAGTTCACATTCCATGCTGACATGGAATTAAAAAAATACAGGAAAAGGGAAACACTTTGGCAGACAAAAGGCTCGCCTTTTTTTGTCTCTCCCTGTGAATTCATGAGACTTAATGTTCATCCTTTACAAAATACGTGTAGGATTTGTTCAAACTATTAAATGTAAGAACATGAGAGTGTATGACAGACACCAAACAAACATCAGCAGCTCCTCTATGATTTCCAGTGGCTAAGTGATCATGTAGATAAACCAGGGGAAGAAAAAGCCTTTTCAGAAAGTAATCTGTGTCACCACAATTGAGAAACACACAGCTGTAAAGCCCTACTTTTAGGTCATCGTGAAAGCAGAGTTTGATCTGTCCAACTTTTAAATTAATAGCTGGAGCTCCATTTCCACCTAACTTTTGTTGCAGTTCCACAAAGCAGCAGTACCGTTTTTGAAGTCTTTCTCAGCACACACAGTCACTGTAGTAACTATAAACGTTGAATTGATGGATTGGTTTATGAAATCCTCCCCTCTTGCCTCACCTCCCAACCATGTCCCAGCGCACACTCACAGGTAACTCGTTATCTGGATCAGGTAAATGTTTAATGACTGTCGGCTGAACAACAACTGACAGGGATGGAAGGCTTCCAAACAAACTCTAGGTTTTTTTGCTTTCAGCAAAATGAACAAAGCTTAAAGTAGAAAGTCTTAAAACTCAGTATTTCGAAATTTACTGGCTGACAGCAGTAACACCAGCGTTACTTTTCTGTCGCTTTTCACCACAATGTTTCTGTAGCAGAAGAGCCCACTGAGCACTCTCAGGATGTAATTCCACACATAAGGTCAGCAGTTTTAAACGTGGATGTCTTCCTGGAAGATTTATTCTTCTAGACCTAATTTAACTAGAGACTACTTACTATTTCGCTTACGGACTACAAGTAAAGATGAAGTGACAATGTATTTCATACTGAAGGTAACGTTATTTACAGATTCAAAATGCTTGTTTTAAAATCCTCCTCAAATGTACTTTTCATGGTATATACGGTGCTCAAACACAGCCCAATTAACTACTTTTATGGTCACCTTTCTATGGCCAATATTGTAATCTCAGACTTTTTATTCCACCAATAGATTCACAAGCGCACACTGCACCAAAAAAATATTCTTCCGCGTCATCACTGACAGAATCAAATATTTCAAAAAAGTAGTATTTAAGGGATTCTTCCTTTTTGTGCTGTTGTTCCTTTAGAAGACAAAGACAAGTTCCAATGAATTTGAGGAGGAAAACAAGCATGTTTACATACAATGTTATGAACTAATGGAAAAAAAAAAAAAGAGTCAAGGACTAGGAAATTAATTTCAGCACTAACTATATGCCAATTTGCTAATTACACACAGCAGTCATTCCTCCCTTTGACTGTTTATAATAATTATTTTAATGATTGAGGTCAAATTAACACAATAAAATTAAGTGATACCCAATGATAGTTAAAATACAATAATAACAATAGAACGGCAATGTTGTAATTTAGGTTATTCTCTGTTGGTTATTCTCTACATCATGGAAGCAGACGATGTCCCCTAATGAATAAAATTCCTTGCTAGCTAGCAACTGATTCAGCTATGTGTAGAGGAGGTGCACGTACACTTGGCACTAAAAACAAAACCTTGCTCAGCCTTACCCCATTTACTTCATAAATAAATCCTGGTTTAAGTGTACTTCTCCTCTCTGGATATAGGTGATCAAATTCTTAATTCTAAGAAATGTGAACAGGAAGTGTTCTTAATCAGAGAGATGTCATTAAAAAGAAACACTGTCCCACACAGCATAACTCCTAAAAACATGATCCTGATCATCCAGATACACCTCTGCACTTTAAAGTCCTACCAAAAACGTTTGGGTTTTTTTTTTTTTTAAAAAAAAAAAAGCAACAATCAACACTTACCTGACGTGTGCCTCCCATGATTCTGTGACATCCTCTGGAAAAGATCACTGGTGTGTTCATAATACCTGTAGTCCTCATGCAGGCGATCGTTTAACTGACGTCTCCTCTGGGCATCATAAAAATGATCGTAGTAGTAACAGCGGGGACCAGCATCTCCATTTTCCACACCAGAATTGGCTTCTGTTAAAAAGGACTGGGAGGAAGAGCCATATTCTCTTGGGACATCAGCTAAACTTCTCGTAAGATAGGAAGGCGCCGACAGTCTGTTGCTTTCGCGTCTTACTATTTCGTGTGGTGGCCTCTGCACCGGTGTTCGAAGGAAACTCTGGTTTCTGGAAACAATTCCATCTCCACCAGAAGCAAAAGCAGAAGAAGTTGAATCAGGAGGGCAGATATCAGTTCGTCTTGGAATGGTTGGACCGTGACGGATAAATGAAGGCATCAGATCTGATAGATAGCATGAAAGAGAAATAAGAACTTTGGCCGTACTAAGGCATAAAGCATTCGGGTACCCACAATGCTGATTTACATCATGGAATGGAGAAAATTCAAATGCCTGAACCCATTTAAGGCAACTCTAATGCTTATTCAAGCATAATGGTAAGGCTGCAGTTTGTACTGCTGCAACAAATCATTACGCTCTCCACCAGCAACAAACCACTGCCAGAAGAGCGCGGTTGTGCTAGTATAACTACATCCACAATAAAAAAAACAACCAACCTCCCAATAAAACTAATAATAATGATTAAAAAAAAATAAATGCCACAAACCACTTCACACTGTTCTGCTGCTCCATCAGCCAGGCTGCACATCTCTCTGCCAGAGGGGTCAAGAAAATCCTGGCTACCACTCTACCATTTCACCAGGACCGCTGTTATCATGAACTCAGAATAACTGAAGACATTAATGCCTACATGCTCACATGAACGGAATTGGGAAAAGACTTCAAACTCTCTCCATTAATCACAAAGAGCAGCCAGCAAAAACGCTCTCATTCTGCAGGTTAAGTTCTCAAATTATCATATCTCACAGTCTCCTTTACCTAAATAGGTTTTGCACACTAGCAGTGACACCTACTTCATAAAATTTCACTGCCTCTCTCCAGCAAGCAATACATTTCTCTCTAATATTACTTTCAACACGATACAGGTAAGTAGTTTCTTTCCAGGTGAACTTATAGAAACTATGACTTTCACTTAGGAGGAGGTTATACCTATTATTAATTACTTTTTATTAATGAACTCTTACAACTCAGTGTAAAAAGCCAGTGCATTCCCAAAAGTGTCATCAGTACATTTATAACCATTACAAAGAAGTCATGAAATATCTAGTCATTACGTTACGGCAAATAGTTTGTGTGAATGTGTTGGTTCCTTAGACTTGCCTACAGCTTAACATGAAAAAAACTTTGTGGGTTTCGGCGTTTGCTTTTCTTGGGTTTTTTTAGGACTAAGTCACTGTAATCAGACTACTAAACGATTTTGCCTGTTGACTGGGGAACCAGCTGTTCATGCAGCAAATACTTCCAGAAAAGCCGTGTGTCTGCTCCTGCCAGTAAATCAGTTGTTGCTAGCTGTGATCTCCAAGCTAATCCCACAATTATAGCATAATACATTTGAGTTTCAGGTTGCTCTCCAAGATTAACAGCAAGAAACCTTCAACATGTATTTGCTTGTGTTTTGTAGAGTCCCAGAAAAACCAGGACTGTGGCACGAGCGTCAGGTTAACCGCACGAAGACCAGTGCGTCCAAGGTGTGTCACGGTGACCTCATCGAGTTGGTTCGTGGTTAAGAACTGGAGGACTTGCTTCCGCAGG